TATTTTTCATTTTTAAATCCTGTGCAGTAAGAGTGTAGTTATTAGCTATGGAGTCACTTGGGTTTCGGTAGTGATGCTGTTCCTTGAATGGAGCTGCCAAAGTCCATGATGACTCCTGCATCAAAGGGGGATAACGGGCTTTCTGAAGGACAAGCTGAAATTGGGAAAAAACAAAAGCAAAAGTTTTACAAAGCACAGTAATTTAAAAAGCCTTCTTAGAGCTAGAACAGGATTAAACATCAATTAGTATAAAAAGCAAATACACAGGTCAGACATGCATTTGACCACCGATCTATTTTTAGATCATTATGCTTTCCACATGTATAAAGATAATTTTACAGAACACTTCAGTTGTATTCAGGCATTTTTTTGCATAATCAAGGTATTTTTTATAAATAAGAGAACACAGTTTATTATCTAGTTCTTTCTGCTCCCCCACATCTCTATCTTGCTTCTTTTCTTCTCCTTATATTTGCTTAGATTTAGAAAACTCCTATTCCTTAGGCCTTTGTTAATGACCTATCTACTTTGAACACTCAGTCCTTGTAATAGTTGAAGAATAGTTCAAGTTAACAAATTCAGCTCTCGTCTTTCTCTCACATCAGTAAGGATTTGTAATAGACTTCTTTTGTCTGTTCATTCTGTGTTTTCTGAGGCGACTTATTGATGAACTTTTCATCAGTCCTGATGTCTGAACTTTACCAAGATACCTCACAGGCACATGAGGTGCGTGTCTCAAAATACCCTCAGAGATTAAAGTACAAGAGATACAATCATGAATATACTTGGAATCATTGGATCATTAGGGCTGGAAAAGACCTCCAAGGCCATCGAGTTCAACTTTTGACCCAGTACCACCATGCTGACTAAACCCCATTGCAAAGAATGGGGATTTGCCAGCACATGGAATGTCTGCATACCCTGACAGCAGGGAGAGGGCACATACCTCATGCAAGTCTGAAGGTGCATCTGAAGCAGAAGCAGGTGCAGGCGTACGTAGGATTGATAATTTCAGTGACTGTTTTCGGCGACTCATATTGCACACAGAATTGTTTTGTGTCTAGACAGAAATGAAAAGCAACTTCAAAGATATTGATGAAATACTCTGTTTCAAAAAAGATTCATGGAGAAAGAAGTGTCCTTCAGTTTTCATCGACAATTACATATTGTAACTTTTCCAATTTTAAGGAAACAGCCATTCTTTGTGGTGGGCTCCTCAGCAAAACATGGTTTTTGCAGTCATTTCATAAGACTTCTAAATACCAGTAAATACCAATTTTAAAAAAATCTTATTTTTATATCCCTGAAAACTACTTAAAATTAGTTAAATGTTTTAAGTTATACTAAAAACTCCACATGGAGTTTCTAATGGCATAAACTCTGGATATTAAAATATTAAATCCTACCAGCCTGCCAAATTGACAGTGAAACAGTCCAAGTTGTGTGAACTGTATTACTGGGGAGGGGAAAAAACCCCTCTAGATTTTTTTAATGTCTACAAGGAGCCAATTATAGAAGAAGTTATTACCAGGATGCTGCTGGAAGAACAAATTGCTCACAAGTACTCTGCAAACTGCTGTACTACAAATATCAGGATATCTGACATGTTTTAGGATTATGTTTCACCTCTTCAAGGGGACAATACTTTGAGATGGCCTCCAGGATGCCATACAAAGTTCTGCCAGGATATTTTCACAGAACTATTAAACCTCACAATGTTTTAAGATGCTTTTGAATGTCAGCCTTCCTTAGTATAGGACAAAGCCTGGCCTATAGTCTGTTCTGAGTTTCCTAAATGAAACTTGTTTCAGAGAGTCACAAGGAAAAATTTCCTAAACACACAGTGACACTATGAGAAAAAGGAAGTAGAAGTGTGTTGTATCTGAACACCAGTGAGTTAAATCACCATGGAAGAGGAAGTTATTACCCTATACAATTATGTTTGAATAAGATATAATCTTTTTTTACATAATTTTAACACACTTTTAGCACATGGTTATTGCTTTCTGATGTATCACTGACAAACGAGGCTGCTAGAATCAGTTTTCTAGGAGACAAAATTGTGCCCTCCTCAATATCAAAGTAGAGCCCATTCAGAAATAAAATTTGAGAAAGGGCTGATTTGATTTACCTCCTTGGTATTCCCCAGCATGCCTGCACACACACAGAAATAAAGACATTATCACTGCCAGACATAACTCATTAAAGAGAGCATGAATTCCCCTTGATTAATGACTAAAGGATTGGGCCTTAGGGTACTTTAAAAATGAATAAATGATACAGTTCATTAGGATATCCATTCATTAATTCTTAAAGGTACAAGAGTCATTAAAAAAGCCATCATTCATCCTAAAAAAACTCCTGATTTATTTGCTAACTAGCCTTTCAAACACCTAATATTTTTTTAAAATTATTAATAAAAAGTCCATTATAAAGGATTAAGTCCAAAGAATATTTAACAAGAACATGTGTCTTTTCATGAGTTCTTCCAATATCAAACCACTAACCACCAGTAATGGCCAATTGCATCTGAAGTTTTGACAAAGTTATTGATCTTTCACAGTCACTGCAGAAGGAATTTACCCTCAGAAGACACGAGCTCTGTGTTGGCTTTTCGTTTACTTAGAATTTTTTGGTCCTTCCCTTCAGTGTGAACATCCTGTTGTTACATGCACTGGAAAAGAAAGAGAGACTAATTTCAGGTACTGCACAAGGTGTCAATCAGCTTCTATCCCAGTTGCCAGGAAGAAGAAAAATCAGCTCTCACATTCGCTGCTTACAACAATAAACTCTCTTCCTCCAAACTTCTATGCTCTTTTTTTCACCATTCCTCCCAAGCTCACTTTTCACCTTAATCTTTTTAACTCCCCCCAAGATATCCTTCAAGCCAGACTTTCTTAAATCCTGCCCTTTCCATTTTCTCCAACACCGGTTTCCTCCCCACTGCCCGTTCTCTTCTAATGTCCCAGGGACCCTGGGCCCCCCAGCTGTGTTTTACAGCAGAACCACACATTAATTGCCAAGAAGAATAAGCCCATGTCAAAAGGAATAGGAAAAGAGAAAGAGAGAGACACTCTGCATGCCTCACACATCCACAGGATGCACAGATGAGCAGGGTAAGGGCAGGTACTACCTGCAGGTGCCCTTGTTACCAGTCCCTCTGCCTGTCACAGCTTGGTGAACTTCTCTGACACTGCCTTTCAGTCCTCAGCTTGGTTGCCCCAGTTACAGCATAGCTGGTGCTTGGAGACAGAATTCCCTCCTCCCTCAGCAGAGAGGAAACAGCCCCTTTTAGTGTTGTGCCAAGCTGTGGTCAGGGAGATTCAGTTGTGGAACCAATGAGAAACTTTACAGGTTCCTTTTATCTCTGAAAGTTATGAAAAAATGTAGTCCTGAGATACCTGAGATATTCTAACTTTTGCATGAAAGTGCTGCAGAGAGCTTCCAGAACAGTAAAGGCTCTATAAACCCAAATTTTCTTAAGAAGAATTGGGGAAAAAAATATTCAAGAGTCAAAATCTTGAATTCAAACACCTCTACCACTATTCCACCATTCAGACTCTAACTCCCTGAAGATCTCAACATAGCAGGTGGGATAGTCTCAATTCCTCTAAGCCAGTATGCATTTGCCTCCCACTCACAGTCATCACTACATCCTGAAAGAGTCTTCCATCACATTCTTCCACAAATGGGAATTACAACCATCCAATATGAAATCTAGCATCGTCTCTTAATAGCTACCCTCAAGAGGGCCTTGTACATGTTCTGCCAACACGAGTTCCATTTTAAACCTTTTCCCATAATCTTTGCCATTTTTCATCCAATTTTCTGTGAGCCGTGAGAATGGCTGATATCCCTGAGTTAACAGCACAGTTTTCCTTATGTCTTGCCCTTATACCACCTACAAATGGAACATTGTTGTTGGCCATTGTTCTTTAAACATGGGCCAACAGTGCAGGGTACAAAATCAGCACTGCTGGTGCTGGTAATTGCTTGGCTAATGCATGCTGTAACTCTCCAAATATTTTAGTGCTGGTTTGCAACGTGAGTATTTTCCTGCTAATTGGAGCTGACACTGGCATGAAGACAAGCTCAATTAAGCAGCAGTTAAGAGTAACTACCGTTCCTCTGTGCACATCAACTTGGATGCTTATATATGCATGCTCTTCTAAGCTGAATAACTTATCTCTGCTGCTTTAAAAACATTAAAACCAGTTGTTTTGTATAGAGGAAGATTATATATGAATTTTTAGCAGAAGAGATAATTATGCATAGCAAGAAAATTATTTACTAAGAAGTATGAGACTATCTTCAAAACTGCAGCTATGGCATGCTTGAAAACAGCCAGAAATTTAAAATCTCTACTATACTTTAAACTCAGCTCCATTAAACTTTATAGTGCCATTATCATTGAGTTATGTCACGCTGGAACCCTGACAGCTAGTTTTCCCTATGCTCACTTGTTAAAAAAAGTATACAAACCAACAAATTTATTATGATATACCCTAGTGTACCAAGAAAATCAATCCACTATGCATTTTAATAATATGAGAGATTAACACATTACGAGTTCAAGCAACATACACTTGCCCTGACCATCCTCTTCTTGCAGGTATCTTGTGCAAGGCTTTTAGACCCCCACAGTCCAAATATGTGTTAATATGCAAATCCTACTCCTGACTACACAAATCCTGGTATCTACAGAGATCATTGAAATCAGCACTTCAAAGACACAGAGCTCCAACAGTCTAACCCTCCATACTTCACGAAACTTATTTATGCATTAATTTGCAAATGAAACATGCTATTTCTTTTGTTGGCGTTAAAAAAATAATCATGAAACCATTAACATTCACTTTTGTAATACTCTCATAGGTGGCACCAATGAAATTATTAAATCAGGCACGAGAAATATGAATATTTAACTCATTTCTGATTGCAATTTGCAGCATGAAAAGATCAGTGTAGCAGAAGCTGGGACTTCACTGAAGCCTCACGCTTGCCTGTTCACACCATCATGATGGCTCTGGAGAACAGCCAGGCCAAACCATCGCGCAACACACCTCGCCGAGCATCAGTCCCGGCCAAATGCTGAGGCACTGTAGCCGCATTGCTTTTGCTGAAAACCCAGCTGAATTCTTAACGTAATCACTCCTGACACGGTCCCCGAACAGGTTTGCCACGTGGGCACGGGAACACCGGGAGGCAGCAGGACGAGGCGGGGACGCGTGGGAACAGCCACGGGGCCGGGGGAAGCTGGCGGAGCCGGGTGCGGCGAGCGTTCCGCCGCTGCTCCAGCGCTCCTCACGGCGCGGCTGAACGCGCCCAGCCCGGGGACGGCGGCGTTACGGAACCCACGGAGCCACTGCTGCCACCGGGGCCGAGCGAGCGTCTGCCCGCCTCCACAGCGGCACGGAGACCGCGGACACCCTCATCTTCCGTCCTCCATTGCGAAGAGCTCCAGGCTGCATGTGCTAAAACAACACAAACCTCTAGGACACTCATGAGGGTGCCCGGACTGAGCGGATGAGGTAGGGCTGGGGTGAAGGGCAGGACAACAGGGGGGACACGACAGGACGCGCGAGGGGCATCGGCCACCGCTGGCCGGCCCTGGCAGCGGGGCCCGGGCGCCGCCCGCCCACGGCCGCTCGCGCCGCCACGGGCGGGCCCGGCCCGGCCCGGCCCGGCGGGGAGGAGACAGCGGCGGGCGGGCGGGCGGCGGCGCTCCCGCAGCCCGGCAGGCCCGGCAGCCGGGGCCGAGCGGGCCGCAGCCCCTGGGCGGCAGCCGCAGGTGAGCGGCCGAGCTCCGGCACTGAGGAGGCCGCGTCCGCCCTTACCTCCGGCGGACACACGCCGGGGGCCCGGCGGGGCGCTGGCGGTGCAGCGGTGTGAGGGGGGTGATGGCTGTGCCCTGGCCGCGGTCTGGGTGCCCGCTGCAGGCCGCGGGCGCTGCGCGGTAACGCCCGGGCTCGGGCGCGCCCCGCGGGCAGCTCCAGCGCCCCGGGCTCGCCCGCTGTGTGTGACTGCCGAGTGCCCTGCGCGGCCCGGCGGGTCCCCCCAGCACGGCCCTGTGGGTCCCCCCAGCACGGTCCTGAGTGTCCCCTCACCACGGCCCTGTGGGTCCCCCCAGCACGGTCCTGAGTGTCCCCCCAGCACGGCCCTGAGTGTCCCCCCAGCACGGTCCTGAGTGTCCCCCCAGCACGGCCCTGCTTGTCCCCTCACCACGGCCATGAGTGTCCCCCCAGCACGGCCCTGCGTGTCCCCCCAGCACGGTCCTGAGTGTCCCCTCACCACGGCCCTGTGGGTCCCCCCAGCACGGTCCTGAGTGTCCCCTCACCACGGCCCTGCTTGTCCCCTCACCACGGCCATGAGTGTCCCCCCAGCACGGCCCTGAGTGTCCCCCCAGCACGGCCCTGAGTGTCCCCCCAGCACGGCCCTGAGTGTCCCCTCACCACGGCCCTGTGGGTCCCCCCAGCACGGTCCTGAGTGTCCCCCCAGCACGGCCCTGAGTGTCCCCTCACCACGGTCCTGAGTGTCCCCCCAGCACGGCCCTGAGTGTCCCCTCACCACNTGCTTGTCCCCTCACCACGGCCATGAGTGTCCCCTCACCACGGCCCTGTGGGTCCCCCCAGCACGGTCCTGAGTGTCCCCTCACCACGGCCCTGCTTGTCCCCTCACCACGGCCCTGAGTGTCCCCCCAGCACGGCCCTGAGTGTCCCCCCAGCACGGTCCTGAGTGTCCCCTCACCACGGCCCTGAGTGTCCCCCCAGCACGGCCCTGAGTGTCCCCCCAGCACGGCCCTGAGTGTCCCCTCACCACGGCCCTGTGGGTCCCCCCAGCACGGTCCTGAGTGTCCCCCCAGCACGGCCCTGAGTGTCCCCTCACCACGGTCCTGAGTGTCCCCCCAGCACGGCCCTGAGTGTCCCCTCACCACNCACGGTCCTGAGTGTCCCCCCAGCACGGCCCTGAGTGTCCCCTCACCACGGTCCTGAGTGTCCCCCCAGCACGGCCCTGAGTGTCCCCTCACCACGGTCCTGAGTGTCCCCTCACCACGGCCCTGTGGGTCCCCCCAGCACGGTCCTGAGTGTCCCCCCAGCACGGCCCTGCTTGTCCCCTCACCACGGCCCTGCGTGTCCCCCCAGCAGCGACACGGGCGCCACGGTTGCTCGGGATACCAAACAGGAAAATGCATCCTCTAACCTGCCCCTTGCAAGGGTCCCCCTGCAACAACAGCTGGAAATTGTCAGGGAGATTACCGAGCTGAGGTTTCCTTGAAACTGCCCCGATTCAATGTGTTCATAGCATCTGGAAGCATTTTGCCTTAATATGCTGAGTTTGGAAGCTGTGTGGGGTATGCTTTCAATTCTGAGTACGAGGATACTCACAGAAATAAGTCTCATTAATGTGTTACCGGTTTCCAGAACCCATAGCAACAAATTGTTCATGCAGGTGGCTAGAAGTGATGTTTTTACTGGTAAGTGAATACCTTGATGGGTAAGCACAGGGTTAATGTTAGAAGGTGAGAGTCACCTGTCTCTTGCTACTTGGCTTTGGGAGTTTCAGAAGAACTTGCAGGGACAAGCTCTCTACATTAGATGTGCTTTTTGTAAAAGTAATGTGCATCACTTCAGCTGAAATCTGCAATCTCTCTTTATACAAAGGAAACATTTGGTTTTCAAAAAGCATCTTTATAAGCCTGTCACTAATTGTACCATAATTTTAAGGGAAATTGGATGGCAAGAGTGAGAAGTGGCTGTTCAGAAGAGGTCGTGGCTGAGGATTAATAACATGTCTAAAGAAATGCAGGAACTACAGAAGCAATGGCACTCCGTGATGCAGATCATCCACAGCAACGAAAATGTGGGTCTGGATTGTAATTTGATGTTTATAAAGATATATTTTGTAACTATCAAGATATCACACCCTGATTTATTTAAATGCACTCCCTGTTTTTCAAGTGAACACTGTGAGGCCTGTGGGAAGGCCTGTCCTCCCACACCTTCAGTCAAAGAGGAGGGAAGCCTGTTCTGCATTTTTTGTTTTACTGGCATAACCCTTTGAGATAGTAGAGTGGCATTTTAATGAAATGGTTGCAGTGCTATAAAGAGAACTAAAACTACAATATGTGTTTCCTTAAGGGAAGGAAAACTACTACAGTAAAATTCTAGTGTATAGCTATGACTGCCTCTGTAAAAAGATTTTTTATTTACCAGTAATGTTATTCTTAACAACTTTCTGATACAGACATGCCTGCACTGTACTTTGATTCAATGAATGAGCAGGTTGCAGATATTCCTAAGCCATGGCTGAAAGAAAAGTTGAGCATTTGTAAATGTTACAGATTTTTAAAATTAACAAATAGAGGTCTCTAGTTTAAAATAATGGTTGCCAAGACTCCAGTGAAAGCTACAGCTAGACTGATTTTTTTTTTACTTGCTTTCAGATTGGTTGTTTTTTTGTGGGTTTAGTTTTTTTTCATAATTTCTGCAAGAATAGAACTGGGAAGTCCAAGAAAAACATGTCTGTTGTTGGTAGAATTATATTTGCCCTGAAGTTACCAAGGCCCCATGCTTTTGAAACAAAGAGGCAAGAGGTGCTCCCTATTCCAGCTGCAGACTGACAAAATATCTATCCTACCTATGGTTCACTACAGTAGCAGTGATCTGTGAAAGGTATCTGTGACAGGAGACTAAAAAAAATCTGAAATGTTTTTCTTTCATCTGCAGGTTGTTGCCTTTATGAATTCTCGCATTGGCCAATATTTAGATGACCATCCTTTTGTTGCCTTATCACTCCTGATGTTTATTGCAGTGTCAGCTATTCCTGTTGGATTTTTCCTGGTCTTTGTTGTTACAACAGCTGTAATGGCCTGTATTGGTGTGATAGTCATGGAAGGTACTATATGCATGCATGAATGTACTTACCTATTCCCTTTTAAGGCATGTTACCTTTTTTCCTTCTTAATTTTTCCTTCTGGAAATTAGAGTCCTAGCAATTGAGGATTTCTGTGTGTAGTCCTCAGGTCTGAGCAGTAGTAAAACTCTTAATAGAAGAACAGTAATCTAATTAAGTGTAGTCTATACAGGGAAATCCCATTTTCCTTTTCTAATCTCAGCCATTAGGATATGCCTAAACCAGTTATCTTGAGCATGCATAGCTTTTACAGAGGCTAGCCAGATGATTTTCCCAAATTGTTTGAAATTGGGGTTATGGTAGAATATCAGCTTTTCTATTTGTACATAGACTTGTTTAAGTAACAGAGTGATGTTTTTTTAGGTGTTGTCATAGCCATAGGTGGCATAGCCCTACTGTGTGTGCTGTGTGGTCTGGGAGCCCTGTCCCTGGGAGTTTCTGGAGTGCTGAGCGTTTCTTACGTTGCACTTTCAACTCTGGTCAACTACTGGTGTGCATCAAGGTGAGTATGGATGTCTTGATCCATGCTTGGGTTTCAAACTCTGCAGTTGTGCTATTTCATTCATTGTTTCATGTTTTTCCTAAATGAGCCACTGTTGCTTAGTTTACCAATGTTTCTTGAATGTTTTGAATCCTGGGCTACCCTCATGGCTTAAAATTCAGCATACAGATGTCTGGTCATTGATAGGTATTCTAATGAGTATTAATTCATGCCCTTTTTCCTTTTTGGGACAGAAGAAACATAAGTTGTCTTTAAATGTGAATGTACTAACACAACATGACACTAGACAGTAAAATAGACCCTTGTTTCACTCTAATGTGTTGCTTTAAACATCATTAAAACCTACTGACAAGTTGAATTTTGTGTAGGAGATTAACTGTGCAGTTTTTCCTGCATCATGACCCAACTGCTTATCTGCATTTATAGAGTAAGGGAACAAAATTCATTGTCATTTTGGGAGAGACAGAGGAGTACTTAAAAAGGACAGTGTGGTCAAAATAAAAATAACAGGTTTTGTAGGATACAGCACTGTGTAAATTGCCAGTTGTGCCTCTTGGGACTTTGGGCTTGTTTCAGTCAGCATTGCCTGAGCCAGGCAGCAGTGAGCAGGAGGTAGCAGCAGGCTGTGCTGGAGTGCCACCGGGGGCCCCCTGAAATACCTGCCAGGGAAAGAACCACAGTAATCACTGTGCCATAGGGAAGAGCAAGAAGAAAAATCACAGCTGCTCTCTTGTAGGCTTCCTCAGTTAGCTCCTTCAGCACAGCTGTGTTTGCACAGCTCTTGAGGACACACAAAGCTGCCCGAGATGGCAGGAGAGTGACAAAAGCACGGTACAAGGCCCAGTTCCAAGGCATGCTGTCACATCCACTACACTGCCCACCAATTCCAGAAGACTTGCATTTTCCATAGCATATCCAAATACACAATCCATCCTACACACCAGCCCTGTTGAGCTACAATGTTGACATTAAAACAGATAATAACATCTGTTTCTGTGTTTCTCTGTCTCTTGAGAGAAGCTTAGGTAGACCAGCAGCAAATATAAACCTGTCTGGGACAGCTCACAGTGCTCAGCTTTTTTTGAGCAAAAAGTTAAAAGACAATCTTAGGGAGGAACAGCCAATAAAACCATTCTTTTCTCATGTACACAGGGGTCAGATGAGGAAGCAAGATGTTAATGGAAGTTTACCACAGAAGCAGCCTGGCTTGGATCTTTCTGCCAATACTGGAAAGAGTGAATAAGTAGGTTTCTCCAGACTTCATAAGCACTTAGCTGTACAATCCCAGCATTTGCTATGTAATTGTTCACTCATCAAGCATTCAGTCATTGTGTACTCCTGGAAACTGAGGAAAATCAATATACATATTACACTGGCACTGTAAAAGGGATTTTAAGAATAACCAAGAAGCAGCAGTGCAGTACTAAGAGTATGTGCATGATGGAGTGTTCCACAGAATTTGGTAAAAGGCTGTAGTAATAGTGGGTACTGTTAAGTCAATGGCAAGTAGGTTGACAGAAATGGGAGGGAGATATTTGACTTCCCAGATACTGGAGTTCTGAACGTACTGTCTTTAGTACACAGCAGTGGTCATTTTGATACAGCAGTATCACAGTTCAGAACAGTAAAAGCACATTTTGAATGTGGAAAAAATATTTGTAAGCCTTAACATCCTTTGTTCAAATAGTATGAGTACACCAGGCCAATGCTTTATGGTCATTATAAAGGAAAAAGTAGGCTGCGCATATGTCATGGTCTAAGCTTTTTTCCTCCCTTTAGATGTTGTGTTATTCCCAAGGGAGTTTCTTGCTTCATCATATCAGGGGTAGGCTTATGTCTTGTTTATGTCATATTTAAAGTGCCTGGTTTGCTTCTCAGTTGTAATTTTGTGTATGTTATTTAAACTTTTTTCATTTTTGCAAATGTTATTTTTTAGCATTAAGTATCTATGAGTTTAATAAAGTGCTGTTTGTTTAACCAGATTAATCTTGTTAATCTGTTTTATTCTACATTAAAAACAAGTTTTTCACATCATGGTTTAGGAAGGCTGGAAGTGGAGCTGAGATTTTCTCCTTGAATAAAGTATTTTATGCGGCCAACATTGCTGAGCCACAAACTGCAGATTATTTGCCTTCTTACACCTATAAAGAAAATGCAGATGTCTAAGGTCTAAACTAGTTTTATTTAGTGTTGCATAAACCAAACTGCCGCTGGACCACATCATGGTCACAGAGCTTACCTGAGCTGTAATGTGCTTCACACAGTAGTGGTGGCAATAGTTTCAGCCCCTAAGCTAAGGTGGCCCCACACTTCAGCTGCAGAGTGAAATTTCCAGGAGCCCTTTACTTTTAATGGCACATTAATTCAGCAGACAGTACAAAGCCACATAACTAGCCTGCCCTCAGGCAAGGCTGCCTGCAAGAGCTTTCCAGGAGGCACCTCCAAAGACAGAGCAATAAAGCCCTTACACCTTCCCGAAGTTACAACACTCCAGATCTGTAGCACAGCTCGTACATAGCTAAATCGTTGTCCCTCATTTTCCTTTATGCCCTCATCTTCTGAGGAGAAGAGGCATTACTTAATAAAATCAGCAAAAACTAAAATAAGTTAATCCAGACCCACTCAGACTCACCTAACATGAACCATTTCACTCTGCATTTTAAGTTTATTTTTCATTATATAATTCATTCTGTCATCAGCATTTAGCAGAAACTGGAACTGTGAATTCTCAGTTACCTGCAGGTAAACATGGAACAGTTCTGCTCCTGCTGCCCTGACCTTTGCATGCTTATCAGCCTGTCATTTCAAGGCTTCTCACTGTGTCCTTTCGCCAAGAACTGCTTTTTCTGCAGTGCCATCACCAGAGCAAGGTTTTCCATTGAGAGATGCAGAAGAAAAAACTAGGTCAGCATAGAGTAGGTGTTCTACTGCAGACAGTGAGGCATCCCTTAAAAGGAGGGCAGAGGTTGTTTTCTTTGAATTATTAAAGACTGCAGTAGAACTAAGGAGTCCTTAGCAAGACAGGCTGGGAGGATCTTGTCAAGTCCCCTTTTTCTCAGTTGCTCTCTCAGCTTGCTGCAGAACACCACCAACCCCACAAGAAGCTGGCAAGAGACTCCCACCCCATGGCCCCATTCCCAGCCAGCTCAGCCCACTCAGCTCTCACAGATCTGTTTCACTGCCTTAATAGGCAGCCACTCTTGTGGCCCTACAGCCTGGCAGACCCCAAACATCCCCTGTCTAAGGAGATCTGGAGTAACCAACTGTGGTATGGCTCCTGAAGCAGCTGCTGAGCTCAGGCTGCAGAGTCAGTGCTGCCTCCACCTGCAACAGGTTCCCTAATCCCTCTGCCTACCCATGCAGAATCATCATCCCCACCTCACCCTGCCCTGTGTCAGAAGAGAGAGGCCTCTGCTTGGATGCAGGAAAGGAATATTTTTTGTTTGTAAGATAAGTTTAAACTTTCCAGATAACACACTTTAACAGGGAGCCGAGAGGCAGCAGCACACACAGAAGAGGAGGGCTACAGGGAGGAATGTATGTGGCTGGGCTCTAGGGTAAATGATGTACAAAATAAGGAACAATCCTGTGTTTTCCTTAAGAGTCTTCATTCAAAGCACCTCTACAGTGTTCCTAAAGGGCATTAAATGAGCCACCCTGAGAGAACTATAGTTAAGCCTCTCAGAAGCCAGGGACAGATTGCCTCTCACATGCCACACTGAAGTCTTACCCCAGAAAATATCAGCCAGGGGCAGAAACTAGGAAAGAATAACCTTCTCTTTGACCTAGATGGCTGTCACCATGTGCAAGCTCTTTGTCTCACCTCCTCAGGCAGTAAAAACAGTACAAAATACAGAACTCAAAAGAGCAAAAGTAAAGCTCTCACTGCTTCCCATACTGAAGGTACCCAAGTTATTTTAAATACCTTCACTAATCCAAGTCTGCAGATTCATATATGCAAGATATGTGAGAAATAATTTAGCTAATTGGGATGTTAACTAGAATACTAAATAATGTTACAGTGACATGTGAACAAACTCCAAGCATCCTAAAGCAAAGGGTTCAAAGTCCATTAATGAGAAACAAGCAAAGATCTCTACCTGAATATACACAAAGAAGTTTCCCCCACAGTTCAGAACAAGGCTAGTGAGAGCAAATATTAAGATTAGCCTTATTTGGGGCAGAAGAAGTAAACAGCCCATACAATTAAGTACAACATACAGTTAAGTACATAAACCCTCTTCATCAAGGATCACTTACCTGGCTTTTGCAGAAATACTTCATATTCCAGCCAAGTGCTAAGTCAACAAGACTTAAGTATAGCATGTTGTTTGCTGGACAGTAGCTTAAGTTATCCTTTCAACCCTAACTTCTATCAGGCCAGTGACAGTAACTGACTTGTAATTAAGTGGTTCCAATGTGAGATTCATAGTCTCATTGTGATTATTATAATTGATTAAATACTAGCATAAGGTCTAATGATCATGTTAATCATGGTGTCTACTCCATGTTCTTTGTACAAAATACACATTAACACTTAATGCCTAAGTGAAGCAGGGGCTGTGGCAGACAGGCCCACAGCCCATGTCATTTATACACAGCATGTTTGACAAGTGTCAGGGTCTGGCCACTGATCTAATCTGAAACCCTGCACACTCAGAGACCACAGAGCTGGACTTGTGGTGATCACTCTCCCTGCTCACACAAAGTTGCCAGACAATGTTTAACCTAAGGCTGTTACACTCCTACTGCAACAAAGCACTTTCACTCTGTCACATGCAATTATATTTCATGCCTCATTTCCTTCACTATGAAAGGCAACATGTACAAAATGCAAAATAACTGCATGAAAAACTACCTCACCTCAGGTGGGCAGCATTACTGACAGCACTATCTATAGCTATATGGCAGACAAGGCAGCTGTAGTTGTACTCACACTTTTCCTCCCCCAGTTTGAGACCCCAAATTACATACTCCTGGTGCCCCTATTAAGTGTCCAATGAAACTTTCAGTCATCAGACCAGCTCTGGCAGCAGGAAGTCCATTTCACTTCAGTTTTTCTGGTGTCCTTCTAGGCTGCTCTACACAGAAAAGGGAGGCTCTACTGTATATCTCCTTTGAAGACCTTTTGAAATTATCTGATTCCCATAAGGGCAAAGGGGTTTGTTTTTTTTTTTTTTACAGTAAAGTTTTAACACAAGTTCTGGGTGTTGCTACATAATTTCAGTAAAGCCAGGTTTGAACTTCTAGGTACAGTGTAGGGCTCATATTTGCAAGAGCAGCTGGAGGAGCTACTCATACCACAGACACTGGCACAATATAGATTTTAAAAAACTCAAACAGAATCACAACTGTGAACAATAAGCAATTCAAGAAAGCAAATTGGCTGCAAAGTCCAACAAGAATTTAACATAGCAGTGGTCTGTTTCAGAACAAAGATGCTCAGGAAATTAAGTATTATAGTCATTGTTAAAGGCAAATCTACAGTAAGGAGGCATTCAGAGGATGAACAGTGTTGATTTGCATAACTAGATGCAGGAGAAGGAATACATGACAGACATAATTCACCAAGTGACTACTTCAAGTTTATTTTGAAATACACCTAATGTACCACATTTACCATGTATGCTCTTCGCTTTAGGCATTTAAGAAAAGCCAAAAATAGTAGCATTGTGGCCAGAGAGAGAGCACCAACAGCAGTCATTGCAATGCCAGCCCACATCTCCTTGTTCAGGACAGTGCTCCCTGCAAAGCAAGGGGAACGGCAGTTTGTTTGTGGAGTCAGATCCTCACTAAGCCCAGGTAACACCCCCAGCACCACACTGGCTCAGTACCTTGGGCTGCAGACCACTCTTCTGGCACAAAGAGAACAGGGCCCCCCAGGCTCACCACAGCAGAGTTCACAGCTGCCATCCCACTTTCTACAACAGAAAACACAGCACAGTTGAACCCCACAGTGCAGTGGGCTATCTTGGATCAGTGCAACCTAAAATCCACTCAGACATTACCTCGCTTGCTTCTAGATGGCCTTGGGCATCTTGGTATGCACAGTGGGGAGTCTGGGTGAAAACGGTGGCAGATCAGAACACTGCAGTGGAAGTACACCTGGGACACAATGAGAGGAATGAGATATCCATTCATTTTGAAACAGCAACTGCTCCTACTACTGCTCCAAGTCCAATGTCACCTACCAGGCCAGGAAGCGCTTTGTCACCAGAAACAAAAGCAAAAGTCTTCACTTCCAGCCTTTGGCGATAGTTAGCATAGCTGACACCACGTCCCACAGGGTGAAACACAGTCCTGTAGCTGTCTAGGTCATACTCACAGCTGCCAAAAAATGAAAACTAAGTCAGGACACCAGGGTAGAGAAAGTTTGGGTTGTTGGCCTTGACTCTGAAGTAGCTGATCAAGTTCAAGGTTGAGGTGCTACCTTCTTCCTACATTCCAGCCTCCCAGGGAAGTACTTAGAAGGCACTCATGCTTAAGGCTCTCTTACTGGAGAGGGAGCAGGGGAGAGTTAGAGACTCCTCACAACCACTGCAAAAGGCACTTTCATTTGTGTGGCAGGGCACTCACCCATCTACAACAATATTCCACTGGGGCAGTGATCTTGGCTCTTGGGAGGCTGTTGCCCAGCAGTCATCCAGTACCAGGTGGAGGTTGGGGTCATTGCGGTTCAGGACCTGAACTTCCAGGAAGATGGGCTGGCGCAGGTACCTCACTATGGGATACTGATCCTCACGGTAGGGCTGCCTGTACGAGTCCTCTGCAAGAGCCAAAGTCACTTAAGTAACTCGGGGTGCAAAGAGGGTCTCAAGCTCCTTAACAGCAGCTGGCTGGACAACTACTGTCTGTCCAAGGGCCACAGGTTTGGGGTACCTGCTTCAAGCAGCATGGATGAACAGGAAGGAAGCACACCAGGACAGAAGTCCATATACCAGAACAGTTCACTCATCCACCCTCCCCTCCACAAGCTCCAGAT